CTTGCACCTCAGTTATATAGTTTTAGGGAGTGTGGGGCTCACCCACACTCCCTAAAACTATATAATATCAATTACTCCACAAACTGTCAAGTGGGCCACTCAAAACTGGCATAGTCATGTGGTCTAAATAGTTAAACACGATAGTCTTAGCAGAGCTACATGACTCGCAATACCTGATTTCAAGGGCTGTAAATGGCAAAGGATCACTTGTAGAGGTACAGTTTCTTTGACTTTTTTGCTCCTTTGGGGCTCTACAGTCCCAACCGTCTCATTCAGAGCTCGAATTGTACTGAAAAAGATGTACAATTACAGACCTTATCCCTGATAAAGGGGGTCTACAATTTTGGGGGTGGAAAAACCCTCATTTTGAGTTCACATCTTACTCTTTTAATAATATTCCAGCTAAAAAAAAATTTTTTTAATTATAAAATTCTAACAACATTGATTATAGACATTCTAAACTATATTCACGTTACGTTGTAAATGTAAAATAATTTTTAAATTTACGAAATTTAAAGAAATAAATTGATTAAACAGTTACCATTTACCCCCATTAACTTATCGATTTCCTACAGATACTACTTACAATTGGTCATTTTCTCTTACATTTTTATATATATTTGCTACTATTTATTTGAAATATGTCCTACGTTTTCTAAAATAAGTGATCAAATGTCGTGTTTTAAAATATTTCAAACAATTTATTCACAAACACGCGTGTACCAAAATAAACTTTGAAAACATCCGCCATTATTCGACAACGCGCCCTCTGACGAACAAAATTGTATGCGAGTTTAATTTTAAAAGGCAACAGTGTTGCCAGGATGGGTTCGTAAACTCGAACCCATTTTTCTTGAAATTTTTATTATTTTTACTCTCCCTCCCCCTCTTGTCCCAGTTTGCCCAAGTTTCCTTAAGAAACGTGTAGAAAGTAAATAGATCAATGGCTGTCCATGATTCTGTGTGTAAATAATCAAATCATTAATTTGTTCCAAGCATACTACTGTTTTTTTTTTTATCCAAAGTAGTCCCACCGCTCCCACGATATTTGATCGTGCAATATGCTAGTTGGAGTGCGTTGCGATTTCCACAACGAATGACAGCATGTATCGCGTCCAAAAATACCTAACGAGTCTCAGCCGAATCGTTAAACCATGCTCATCAAATTGTTAATGCGTTGAAAGGCGAGATTGTTTCCGCCTGTGCACGGTTCGCGATATATGACGGAGGACAATGAATTGTGCGACACTCAAATTTTCGTTGTGTGTGACGAATAACGCAAGTAACATCCGTTGGCACGCCGTTTGCTTTTTAAAGGGACTTTCAAAAAACAGTTTGCACAGAGGTCTCGTGGTGTAATGGTAAGCACTCTGGGCTTTAAGTTCAGCGATCTGAGTTCGACCTCGATGAGACCTTTAGTTTTCTTTTTTCTGTTGTCGAAGGTTGTGCGCTATTGCAGTGGTTTCCAAAGAGGGGAATACACAAAATGATATACTATACGTATGTGTGTCCTGTCTGCAGTCTGTCTAATCTTACAGTTATCCTCCTTGAAAAAGTAGATTTGCGATCATGCACGGAAAGAATTCAAATTGCAGGTATTATGTATTTATAGTGAAAATTTAGCAAATTTTTCTGACACTAAAAAATATGAGTAATTTATTCCATAAACATAGATTTTATATGTACATTTTTCTAATTTATTTGAAAAGTTTTATTGCACACGAGTGAGATTCATTTTAATTCCTTGTCTAAATATGTACGAGTATTCAAGAACTCAAACACAATAAATTTATCAACGTATAATAACAAGTATATATTATAATATCAATTAAATTAAAATATCCACAACCGTGAGGCAGATAATAGTGAGGGCTTATCAGACCAAATGATGGGCACAAACGCTCAGAGATTAAAGTGAAAGAAATTTAATAAACACAAAAGGTTACTGGCCGAGCGGTCTAAGGCGCCAGACTCAAGGGAAACCTTTCCTATAAATGTGGGAATGTGCATTCTGTTCCACGATAGTGGGCGTGGGTTCGAATCCCACTTTTACGAATCATTACGAACTTTTTATTTTTTTGTATGCGCGGTTAATTGAGAATGTTTCTTTTAGTGTGACGTATGTTTGCGCCTGGAAGACATTTTTGTAATTATTTTCATTTGAAACTGTAATGATATGTGTGTTATAAGTTTTCAACATGTTAAATTCCGTCTTCGGCGAACGCAACATTAGATTAATTAAACTGATTGATACATCGCGAAGCGTCGAACAGAAACCTGCTTCGCATACACGCGCCGCGGCGAAGCAGATTTTCTATTCTAATTCAAAACAAAAGAAGTTTCGGAATTCTACTGTCACTGTCGCCTTCAATTGCATCAACGATGACGAGGGTGAAGAAGAAAAAAAGACCCCACCGTGATTTGAACAGAGATCGCTGGAGTCAGTCCTAACCATTACACCATAGAATCTCACCTGAATGTTACTTAATTGATTTTGAAATTACTAATAGAAGTTCGTTCACAACGCCCACTTTGTTAGTAATTGTAAGGACTTTTATAGTTTAAATTGTAAAGAAAGTATTTTCAATCGTTTATACACAAGTTAAAGTATTTTATAACGTAATGGGAAAAAAAACCGTGAACTGAACGCATCGCGGGGAAATATCTTTTTAAAAAACTGATAAAAATTTAAAGTAAAATTAAATTTTTCTCGTGAGGAAATGAATGCAACTGGAACGGTTCAATACATGGGCAATCTGAATGCATCATATTTTCGTGTATATCGCATACGGTTTCAAACCACTTATAAAAGACATTCTAACCATTATTACAGCCAACAATTGCACAATGTTTACCTGAACTGGTTTTAAATGGTATGTCGCCAATGAAAAATTAAAAATTGTACACATACACTAGGAGTATCTTAATGGCTACCAAGACATAAGCCCTTGTGTGGAGGATTCAAAAACATGCTCTGGAAACTTGTAGATAGCTTTGATGTTTTAATCATGGAGATACTAGAGTGAAGTCAAGTGAAGCCAGTATATGCCCGCGCAGGACGGAATTTGCCATCTCGAGAGTGGAAGAAACTTAGTAAGCTCGTTACTTATAGTTGTAAATCGACGGAATATTTCTGCTTTTTATTTATTTATTAAGGTTTTTATTAACTCGGATGCTTCGCGTGAGTATTACTCACCTCTGTGTGCGTTAGAAATGCTTTAAAATCAACAATAGGAGATAAATTTTATAGTTAATAAGTGATCAAATGTCGTGTTTTAAAATATTTCAAACAATTTATTCACAAACACGCGTGTACCAAAATAAACTTTGAAAACATCCGCCATTATTCGACAACGCGCCCTCTGACGAACAAAATTGTATGCGAGTTTAATTTTAAAAGGCAACAGTGTTGCCAGGATGGGTTCGTAAACTCGAACCCATTTTTCTTGAAATTTTTATTATTTTTACTCTCCCTCCCCCTCTTGTCCCAGTTTGCCCAAGTTTCCTTAAGAAACGTGTAGAAAGTAAATAGATCAATGGCTGTCCATGATTCTGTGTGTAAATAATCAAATCATTAATTTGTTCCAAGCATACTACTGTTTTTTTTTTTATCCAAAGTAGTCCCACCGCTCCCACGATATTTGATCGTGCAATATGCTAGTTGGAGTGCGTTGCGATTTCCACAACGAATGACAGCATGTATCGCGTCCAAAAATACCTAACGAGTCTCAGCCGAATCGTTAAACCATGCTCATCAAATTGTTAATGCGTTGAAAGGCGAGATTGTTTCCGCCTGTGCACGGTTCGCGATATATGACGGAGGACAATGAATTGTGCGACACTCAAATTTTCGTTGTGTGTGACGAATAACGCAAGTAACATCCGTTGGCACGCCGTTTGCTTTTTAAAGGGACTTTCAAAAAACAGTTTGCACAGAGGTCTCGTGGTGTAATGGTAAGCACTCTGGGCTTTAAGTTCAGCGATCTGAGTTCGACCTCGATGAGACCTTTAGTTTTCTTTTTTCTGTTGTCGAAGGTTGTGCGCTATTGCAGTGGTTTCCAAAGAGGGGAATACACAAAATGATATACTATACGTATGTGTGTCCTGTCTGCAGTCTGTCTAATCTTACAGTTATCCTCCTTGAAAAAGTAGATTTGCGATCATGCACGGAAAGAATTCAAATTGCAGGTATTATGTATTTATAGTGAAAATTTAGCAAATTTTTCTGACACTAAAAAATATGAGTAATTTATTCCATAAACATAGATTTTATATGTACATTTTTCTAATTTATTTGAAAAGTTTTATTGCACACGAGTGAGATTCATTTTAATTCCTTGTCTAAATATGTACGAGTATTCAAGAACTCAAACACAATAAATTTATCAACGTATAATAACAAGTATATATTATAATATCAATTAAATTAAAATATCCACAACCGTGAGGCAGATAATAGTGAGGGCTTATCAGACCAAATGATGGGCACAAACGCTCAGAGATTAAAGTGAAAGAAATTTAATAAACACAAAAGGTTACTGGCCGAGCGGTCTAAGGCGCCAGACTCAAGGGAAACCTTTCCTATAAATGTGGGAATGTGCATTCTGTTCCACGATAGTGGGCGTGGGTTCGAATCCCACTTTTACGAATCATTACGAACTTTTTATTTTTTTGTATGCGCGGTTAATTGAGAATGTTTCTTTTAGTGTGACGTATGTTTGCGCCTGGAAGACATTTTTGTAATTATTTTCATTTGAAACTGTAATGATATGTGTGTTATAAGTTTTCAACATGTTAAATTCCGTCTTCGGCGAACGCAACATTAGATTAATTAAACTGATTGATACATCGCNCACGAGGGAAAGTTGATATTTTTTTCCTTTTTAATTCGCGAAAATTATTATATTTATTTCAAAATAAAAACAAATAAAAATGTAAACAAAATTCGAAATGCAATCAAATCTTCGTCTGGCCGTGACGTATTTCTCGAGTCACGTGATCATCTCGTGGTCAAACATGGCGCCAAAAAATCGTCCACACGTTGAAAGATCGAGAAATGTTTTATCACCGTTATATAGCGTTTAAGTAAATTGTACGTTATCGTAATAGAATGGTGCTACATTGAAATTTTTAATGAATAAGAGTAAATGGAAAGGCACAGATGTTTTGGTGAGTGATTATTCTTTAAATCTTTTCGCCATTCGTCAACATCGATTAAGCCTAAATCCAACTTTACTTTTCCTGTTTATTATCGACAAAAAATAAAAATAATAATGTATACAAACAGATTAAACAAATATTATACTTATTAAAGGGATATTTTAAATATACTTTTCATCCATATAAACGTTGACAAATCAGTTAAATGATCTTATAAGTCTGATGAGTTTGGCTGATGAAATCTCATCTATTAGCTTTCTCCTTTATGTCTACCCACATCAATGCATAAATTACACATGGATCAATTCATTAATACCTACATTATAAACTGTTATTACATACTACACACAGATTTCTATTCAGTTTAATTTATACATAAATAAAGGTGTTTATATCAGTTAAGTATGGTTATTGGAATTTAAAGTTTTCCTTTATTGTTTTGTTTTTTTTTAATGCTATTCACCGTTTGACATTTCTGACTGATTATAATACCGTTATTGATTGTACATCCGTACGTGTTTGCCATAATATCTGTATAAATAAGTTTTATTGTTATTTTTTCGTCTCGTTGTCACTGTAGTTTTTAGTATGGGATTTATTTAATTCATAAGCACATTTGTTTATTAAAAATTTACAAAATTATTGAAATTTCTTAAACTGATGAGAGTATCACTTTTATATTGTGCGACTAATTAAATTAAATGTCGAAATTCCCATTAAAAACGGTAATAAGTGAATTAGAATTTTGTTAGACAGAATTAGATAACCCAACAAATAGGGTATAACATTTTTTGCAGGGCTTTTTTATAAAAGTTCTGGTCCTTCTTTCAGTCGGCCTTGGTGTGATAAGCCCTGCAAAAAATGTTATACCCTATTTGTTGGGTTATCTAATTCTGTCTAATTTTCAGTCGCGGGCAAAAAGCGTTGTTTATTATTAGAATTTTGTTGCTGAAATTGATTATTTAAAAATTTTTTTTGTTTTATTTTTAACCTATCAACATTTATAATTTATGTTGTTTAATTGATATTATGATAGGCAGTGGCGTGCAGTTCATGGAAGCTGTGGAAGTGTCGCTTCCCTTGTATTTTTCAAAATATAAATACGTATTGTGCGATTATTTTTATAATTGAATTCTTATATCTTTGTTTTGTGTCAATTATCTATTTTAGAATTAAAATAAATAAGCTTTTTTTTTTGTTGTTTCCAGTATTTGTTTATAATTTTTATGGAAACACAGCTTTCCTATCATCAAATGTTGCCACACATCACTGGTGATGATAGGTGTTATTTTAACAACAATATTGTATACCTTTTATAAATACTTGTATTGCTTTAATCATTTAACAATATAATATAAATATAATATATATTGTAAAGTACTATATTTAGTTTGTTGCTCTACAACGAATTTTTCTTAAAGAGCCGGGACCTAACGGGTACTTTACGCGGGTTCACGTTTATTAGTTGCCAGGCCTGGACTTTTAGCGTGCACCGAAATAAATTAAGGACAAAGTCACAAAAAAAATCTCAATAATAAATGTTTAATCAAGTCTAACAAATACTATGTACAAGATTTATAAACAAACAACAAATTTATTAAATAAAAAATCAAATCACAATCAACCCGACAAACTTAAGTCTTATTCTAACTTAGAACTATTACCCTTGGAATTCCGACAATTATCGGGATGTTTCGTTTTAAGGTTATACAAGTCCCTAAAAAGTCTATGGGGTGTCCCCCCTTCAGTGCGGACGTACAATTCTGCCGCTCGGGCGTGCATGTGAGTGCGAGTGCTAGCTATGGCGCTGTTGTTTCGTCGTCGGTGAGTTGGTTAATCTCTTATCTTCTCGTTTTGAATGTTAGGGTGATGGGTGAGGAAACCTTCGTCCTAACTAAACATAAGCCCCAAACAAAAATATAATAAAAGTAAAATAAAAATAAAGCTCGGACTTGGTTCCTTACAATATATATATATAAGGTATGGTTGAAAAGTAATGAGACTAAATTTGTATTGTGTGTTATAGCAGCACTATAACATTCATTTACATAACAGTACATTTGGTACAAGTTTTAATCTTCTTGTGTCAATGTAATGGGTATTATTGAAGATTTAGTGTACTTACGTCTTGAGTAATTACAGAAGAATGGAGAGAAGTATTGAACAACAATATTCGATGAAATTTTTATGAAATTGAAAGAGTGCAACTTAAATTTATGATGCATAAAAATTGTATATGGTGGTGAAGTTCTATAACATGTTTGTTGACATGAAATGTTTTCAGAGGGGTGGGAATTGGGGAGGGTGAGTCAAGATCGGGACATCCTTTGACTTCGGATGATAATGTTGAACGTGTAAGGACTGTCATTCTTTAATCTTCAAGAATCATAATTAGGAGTCAAAGGTTATCATTTTGAAACTATTGAGAACATCTGAAAAGCTTAAATCAATATTGTGCAGCAGCTCAATGAAAATAACTTCCAGAGATGTTATGAGGCATGGAAAAAAAAGATGGAATTAGATGAATAAGTGCATTATGTCAGAAGGGCTTACATTGAATGGAATTAGCACTGAAATGTAGCAGTTTTGAATAGATTTATTGTAAAATCATTCTTCAATCAGACATCATGTTTATATAATATATGCTCTTTAACTTTTGATACTATTTACTTAACACTAATATTGTATAATATAAAATAAACAAACACCTTTCTCTATTCCAGCACAATGTTTAATGCGTTAAAAAACGTTTTCGACCGTTTTAAGCGATCTTCCTCAGTTTAAATTCGAACCATATAACGAACAAAGTACAGTAGAGCGTCGTTTATCCGAATCAATTGGGGACTGGGGTGGTTCGGATAACTTATTTTTCGGATAATGAATCATGTACGAAAAAATATATTAATTTATCCCATGTTGAAATTTCTCTCCGTTGCGTGTCGCTTCGCGTTGAATTTTCGTCGATGTTAAGCCTAACGAAGACTATTGTATCGTTAAAAATTATTTTTTTATTTTGTACAAACAAAATAAATTTATTGAAAAATATAAAAACAATAAAAAATTATACTTCAGATGTTAATTTAGTATCAAAAACGTAAAATATTTGAGTAGCCC